GTTCCAAAGCACACTTGAATCTCCACCAGTAGAAGCTCCATTCTTGCACTTCTAAGATCTTGATTTGTCCGACCTCTTCTCTCTTCAACACCTTTGAAAATGTCTGGCCCATCCGACCGTCGTTTTGACTTGAACCTTGTTGAAGAGGCAGCCCCGCCTTCTCCAGACAACATATGGTGCCCATCCTTCGTCTCCCCTACTAATCCTCTTACCGTTGGGGATTCCGTGATGAATAATGATATGACCGCTGCGGTGGTGGCCAGGAACCTTCTCACTCCCAAAGATAACAGACTACTTTCCAAACGGTCTGATGAGTTAGCTGTTAAAGATTCTCTGGGTCTTAGTGTTCAGTGTGCAGGTTATGTGTCTAATATGGCCCAACGCCTATTTGCTCGAACCCGCCAAGTTGAATCATTGGCGGCTGAAGTGATGAGTCTCAAACAGGAGATTAGAGGGCTCAAGCATGAGAATAAACAGTTGCACCGGCTCGCACATGACTATGCTACAAACATGAAGAGGAAGCTTGACTAGATGAAGGAATCTGATGGTCAGGTTTTACTTGATCATCAGAGATTTGTGGGTTTGTTCCAAAGGCATTTATTGCCTTCGTCTTCTGGGGCTGTACCACGTAATGAAGCTCCAAATGATCAACCTCTGATGCCTCATCCTTCTAGGGTCCTGTCCAGTACTGAGGCTCCGAATGATCCCCCTCTGGTGCCTTCTCTTTCTAGGGCTCTACCGACTGCTGAGACTTCTCCTAAGCAACCTTTGTGAAGGCTCCCTTTTGTTTGTTTATTTTGACTCATGTATATGTACATATTTGTAACTTATCAGGGATATCAATAAATAAGCTTTCCTTCATTTCAACGTATTGTGTTAAATACACCAAAGCCTTCTTCGCTAAGTTCTTTGAATTTTCTTTTGTTGAAACTTGTATGTTGAAGCTTTGTGAGTGGAGCATGTAGGTTGAGGTAGTGTTCCCTTAATTTCCCGAGTGAGGAAAACTTCTCGGTTGGAGACTTGGAAAATCCAAGTCACTGAGTGAGATCGGCTATATGAATCTTAGAACGCCATTGTGCTCGGTCCTGTGTCATGTCCTCCGTTAGATCCAAGTACTCTAAGTCTTTTCTTAAAGTCTCTTCCAAAGTTTTCCTAGGTCTTCCTCTACCCCTTCGGCCTTGAACCTCTGTCCCATAGTCGCATCTTCTAATCGGAGCGTCAGTAGGCCTTCTTTGCACATGTCCAAACCACCGTAACCGATTTTCTCTCATCTTTCCTTCAATTTCGGCTACTCCTACTTTACCCCGGATATCCTCATTCCTAATCTTATCATTTCTCGTGTGCCCACACATCCAACGAAGCATCCTCATCTCCGCTACACCCATTTTGTGTACGTGTTGATGCTTCACCGCCCAACATTCTGTGCCATACAGCATCGCCGGCCTTATTGCCGTCCTATAAAATTTTCCCTTGAGCTTCAGTGGCATACGGCGGTCACACAACACGCCGGATGCACTCTTCCACTTCATCTATCCAGCTTGTATTCTATGGTTGAGATCTCCATCTAATTCTCCGTTCTTTTGCAAGATAGATCCTAGGTAACGAAAACGGTCGCTCTTTGGTATTTCTTGATCTCCGATCCTCACCCCTAACTCGTTTTGGCCTCCATTTGCACTGAACTTGCACTCCATATATTCTGTCTTTGATCGGCTTAGGCGAAGACCTTTAGATTCCAACACTTCTCTCCAAAGGTTAAGCTTTGCATTTACCCCTTCCTGAGTTTCATCTATCAACACTATATCGTCTGCGAAAAGCATACACCAAGGAATATCATCTTGAATATGTCCTGTTAACTCATCCATTACCAACGCAAAAAGGTAAGGACTTAAGGATGAGCCTTGATGTAATCCTACAGTTATGAGAAAGCTTTCGGTTTGTCCTTCATGAGTTCTTACGGCAGTCTTTGCTCCTTCATATCCTTTATAGCTTGGATATATGCTACTCGTACTCCTTTCTTCTCTAGAATCCTTCATATTCTTTAATTTTCTTTCGTATGTATATGTAATTCACACATATACATACGAAAGAAAATTAAGTTTAAAGCACATCAACCAATACGTAGATTACTAATGGAACAAAACGATAACCAAAGGTGAATTAAAGAATAAAACACCCGAAGTAGAGAGAATCAGACTGAAAAACACATGACCATTACAGGCAACCACAACTATACAATAAATATAGTTGATAAAGCATATAATCCTTTTAAAATAACCATACTTATACATATGCAAAAGCAATCAGTAACACATCCAAAATAAATCCTTAAACCAGAAATCTGATATTATTTAACAACTCACCTTTCCTCTTTTTTTTTTCTTCTTTAACTTATCCACAGCAGATTCGAGACCATATAAAATGTTTTGATAGCAATCTGCACCAAAAAGTGAAATTACAAATTAAATACACAAAACAGCAAAAAAAAAAAAAAACTTTTTTAAGAAAGCAGAGTCAAAAACCGTGTCATGAGCTCAAAGAAAAAATAGTTCCATCTCCAATTTAAACAATTTGTAAAGGCCACCAATAATTTTTTTGTTTGACCAATAGTTTCTCAACCAAACACATTTTATGCCAAAGCCAAACCAAACATAACATAACTGACAAAACGAAAGGTAACAATGTCCATAGCAACTTAATTATATGTGGAAAAAAAGACTAGCAAAGATTACTTTTAAAGATGAAAACATGCATTAAACTAAACAATTAAAAGCAAAAACCTAATAATGTAACCCCATAGTCCCCAGGACCTTTCTCAAAGAACCACATAAAAATGCCATTTCAAATCTGGGCAAGAAGCTAGAACAACACTAAATGTCACTAAATGTCATGGTTTTCATATATATAAAACCTGCATAAGCTTTAAAAAAGCTAATAAACCTATAACCTATTATAAATTTTAACATTTTATATTAATTTAAACTGAAATACAAATCTTACTTAAATTAAAAAATAAGAGATTAAATGGTAGCAGAGAAAAGATAGCAAACACAATTAAAATTGGTAAAGCGGGCAGTCAATTAGGGAGTAACAATGAGAATGGATAAATTGACTCTCTTTACAAGCAACACTTTGGTTTTTTTTTTTTTTTTAAAATAAAAAACGGTGAAACTATTAGACTCCCATGACCCTTGAGATAGAAACACACTATTTGGTTAAAAGTATTTTTTTTTCCCTTTTGATTTTGGCCAAAACAAACGGTTCTGTTTAAACTAAGTGTTAGTGATCTTCTTCCTCTGGTTTGGAACTTTGCAAAATACCACAATGGTGCAACACCACTGCTCAAGCGTGATTTCCGAATGGGTAATGCACAGCAGACTAAAATTACAAAGAAATTTTAACCTAAAATCAAATCTACCCAAACTCCAATCATATCTCTAATCTAACACTTATCAACGGGTTCCCAGATGTACAAAAAAACGATGACAAAAACTCACCCAAAAATTAAGCTACCAATCTCTCAAGTACGTGCTTGATAAAAGTGAAGCATATACATATGTAAAATATGAACGAAATATGCAACAATTGTATAAAAACATGCATAAATGATAAACCAATCCTACAAACATGTTAAATAAACATAAGATATATAATAATAAAAAAGCAGAAGGAGAACGAAGTGCTAAAAATAGCAAGGAAATTGTTTTTGGCGCAAGGAGATTTACCCAATAAATAAGAGGACCGCCGGAGACACTGCCAAACTTGCGATTGATCAACGAAGGAACAAAAATGCAAAATATTCTCTCAGCGAGGAAAACCCAGTACATGATCAGAACCGACCCAAAACAAAATGTTTACAATTTCATCCAAATCAAGCAAAACTCAAAAGAAAAACCAAACACAACACATACCTAAGTCGCCAAAAATAGATTTCCCAGTGATGCGAAAACGGCCGGCCCTCAAAGGAAATACAAAACCGGAAATAGATCCAACCAAAATCGGTGAAGAATAGAGGGAAACAAACGCAAACACCGCAAAATATTCACCGTCGATCGCAACCCCAAAAATTTTGCGAAACAATTTTACGACGGAGGACAAAACACCCCAAACCCTAGGTTTAAACAAATGGAAAACCTCCCTCAAATCAGAGACCACAAACACGATCCCCTAAACCACAAAAATCAGAAACTTGGTCCAATATATTCCAAACCAAAGATAGCGAAGAACAACAAAGAACCCGAGAGGAAGAGTGAGGATAAAGTAGAGATGAGAGAAAAACCAAAACAGAGAATGGGCTAAAGAAAAAAGAAAAATCTGGAAGCAGAGAGAGCGAGGATCACAAACACGTGGAAAGAACGGGTAAAACCGTCTTTCCACTAGGGGTGGGTTCAAAAAACCGAAAACCGAAAAAAATCGAAAACCGAACTGGATCGAGGTCGAAAAAAACCGAACCGAAACTGTCAAACCGAACCGAACCGAATTTGGTCAGTTCGGTTTCGGTTTTTAAGGTTTGGAAACCGAACTGAACCGAACAGATATATATATATTTAATTATTTTTTCAATATTATAAATAGTTTAGTCATACAATCATAACAAAACATAACTTGTTACCAGGTTGGTTTGCTTGAAGCTTTTCAAGCCCCTGCGCATGGGTTTGAATCCTCATGCCTCCAGGGTTTCATAAAAGTTTTTTTGTTTTTTTGAGAAATCAACAAACCCTTTAACCCTAACCGCACCTTTTATTTTTTTTCATTCCTCTCTTCTCTCTCTCATTCCCTGCCTCCAGTGTAACCCTAGCCCAGTAACCCTCTCACGCAGCCGAGCCTCATCTCTCTCTCGTTTTCCAGTTCGCGCAACCTCTGAGCCTCCCCTCTCTCTCTCTCGGTCTTCAATCACTTTCTCACTCTCTTTGTCTCTCTATGAAGAGCTTCATCGAAGCCAAGCGCAAGGAACGCGAGGCTCGCGAGAAGGACGAGTAGTAATGGTGCGAGGTGGAGGGCAGCAAATCCCCCGAGGTCAAGAAGAGCGAGGAAGAAGCCGAGAAGTGGGCGGAGGCTGCCACGCAAAAGTCCGAGGCCCGCCGATTGGCGGATCTGGAGGAGAAGGAGCTCGAGAAGGAGCAGCAGGAGGCGTTGGAGAAGAAATCGGATGAGGTGAAAAAGAAGCAGAGCCGTACGGTCGAGAAGGAGGAGTATGAAAGGATGGTGGTTGTGGAGAATAAGAATCGGGATGATTCGTTTAGGAGGCTCAAGGCTTCGTTTAAGGTAAGTTTTTTTTTTTTTTTGTTATTGGGAGAATTTAGGGTTTGTTGGGTTAGGGGTATTGGATTACATTGGTTTCAATTTCGTTTTGGATAGTAATGCATTCAGATTCAGAATAGAATTGTTCTAGTTTGTATTGAATAACTGAGCTTTAGAAATTAGGAATGGTACTGTACTAGTTTGAAGCTCTGGGAATTATTTGAGTAAGGAATCCGACTCGGCATTGAAAACATGCGACTCGGTGTGTATGAGTGTGCTTGATTGCTTGTGTTGGCTCTGAATCGTTGGTAGAACACCTCTTTTAGACATATGGGTTGCCTATCCAGTCCTGAGCACTTTCTGTTTCATCATGGAGCTCTGAAATCTCACGGATTTTTTTTGCTGTTGAATAAAAAATAAAAAACCGAACCGGGCCGAAACCGAACCAAAAAAAAATCGAACCGAAAAAAATTTGAACCGAACCGAAATTTCGGTTCGGTTTCGATTTTGGCAAAAAACCGAACCGTTTTGAACCGAACCCAACCCTACTTTCCACTGCACCAAGCAAGCCACACAAAGGAAGAAACATGAAAAACAAAGTGGCAAAAGAGTCCACATACTGGTCATCCACAGTGCCCCGGGGGATTGGGTTTTAGTATATAAGACTAGAAATTATTGCCCGCATGTTGTTGCGGGATTAAAAATTGTAAAAATCCTTGTGTTTGAAAGATATAAAAGATTGTGTCATAGAAAATCAATACAATTCTTTGCTATATTTAATTGATACTCCACACAAAAATCGTAGAAGTTTTGGCTATCTATGTATATAAAATATTAGATCAACACATTCCACTTAGGTAGTTTTTGTGATTTTCAATCGACAGTAGTACTTATATACAAAAGATTATGAAACTTTGGGCTATTTACATGCAAAAAATGTTAAGAAATATTATGTCATTTACATTGATAAAATATGACAAGAATTGTTCAATGGAACACCAAAAGTTCCCTCCAGTACTCTTGATTGTCAACAAAGTAGTTTAAACCAATCCAAATACCAAAACTCTTTCAAAGTTCCATGTGTCTTCAGTTTCTGTAAATCAACCAACTTCTCCATTCCAAACTATCGAACAAATATTTAACAGCAATACAACCAACCACCAACCCATCCACAGACCAAAACCCTTTCAAATTTCTGTGTATTAATGATTATCAACTAAATTATTTGGAGATGGAGACACACAGAGCTAGCATAGGAACCAAAGAAGATCTACAAAAGCAAGTTAAGAGATCATCGTATTACAGAAGCAAATTACATAATAAAATTAAGAAAGCATCATATTACAAAAGCATAATAATGTTCATTTCCAAATGTATTACAAAAACCTATGGTTTCATTCCACATCACATAATTCCCAAGGTTTTTTTTTTTTTTTTTTTTAAACCACAAAATTTACAGCCTAGTTCAAAGAATTTGATCTGATTATTAATATTCACATGGAAAAGATAAAGACTCAAATGAACTGGGCATTTGAAATCACTTTCTTATGTCTTATAACCACATTAGTATCATACATATACAAACGTAGCAAAAGAGAATAGCAAGTGCAAGCACAGATCTTGTGATAGTATACAAAAAAATGACTAAACCCGAAATTCCCAACACATACACCAATCTTATACATAAATCGATATCTTATCGAGAAGAAATTAGAATATCAAAATCCTAAACAAAACATGAGGCACAATTATCACAATTAGAAAAATATTTCAAATAAGAGCCAAACCAAAAATGCACATAAAGGTAAGTTATGAACTCAAATAAAACTCACTCTGATGCTCATTTCTAATTATGAATGCTCTCGAGACTCCAATCTTCTCATCCCAGTCGAAAATTATCTATACTAAAGTAGGGGGAGGGCAGGCACTATTCACGTTTGTTTTGATTTTGCTTTATTTACAACAATACCAGCCGCATGTGGCTGGGTTGGGAGGGTGATTCTAAAAAATTCAGAGGGTACTAAAGTAGAGGAGAGGGCAGGCACTATTCACGTTTCTTTTGATTTTGCTTTATTTACAACAATATCAGCCGCATGTGGCTGGGGGGAGGGTGATTCTAAAAAATTCAGAGGGTAATTTTATCCAAATGGTTTAGCAGGGAGCCACTCACTTTCATGCTATTTACAACAAAACCGTCAGGTTTGGGCTGATATATGGGCTGGGTTGGAAGGGCAATTTTGTCCTGTGCGTTTGAGACCGATTGGGGTGGGTTTAGGTTTGCTGTCATTCGACAGGAGGCCATGCCGTTTCTGAGATAGAGGGAGAGAGAGAGAGGGGGACAGAGCGAGAGAGAGGGATTTCAGGGATTTGCAAATCCTTCTCCTTCACACAGAAGCTCTGCAAATCAGTAGGCCCAACCTCTAACTCTCATCCCCAGATCCCCTTCATACTGCAAATGAGTTCCTCCCCCTTCAGTTCCTCCGCTCTCAAACCTCACTTTCTTCCTTTCACAAATACCAACGAAGAACATGATCAAGGACACACAGGCGCACCAACGCCTCCATTTTCCGGCGAAACATCACCACATAACCACTCATTCCCTCCATTCTGCTCAGGACACACAGGCGATTGCCTTTCACTGTGCAGTGGCTACTGCCACTGTTCATCGGCTTCTCCTACGAGACAGCAGGGGTATGCAGAGATCATAATAGATGGGCTTTTATATATATATATATATATATATATATATATATATATATATATATATATATATATATATTATACCATTAGTTTCTGAATACTCTGTTTTTACTTTTAGATTTATTCAGTCTCTTTATAGTTGGTCTTTTCAGTTTAACCTTCTTAGTGTTTTCTGATCTCCATAAGGTCTGAGCAGTAAGGCGTCACCCAAATAGTAAGTCCCGGAGGATAGGGCCTGAGCGGCGCGCATGACCCAGAGAGCTTGGCGTTTAGAGTCACTAGTAAGATTTTCTGTTAAGGTTTCTGTATTTTGATTGTTTGAATTTATTGGTATGAGTAGATTGTTTAGATCTAATTCTATGGCCAGCACTAGCTCTAGATCAAATTTAGGAACAATACCTGATATTGTCAATGAAGAACAAAAATTTGAATTTCAAACAGACAGTAGTCTAGATTTTGCTGAATGGAATATTCCAAAAATATCTTCAAAAAATATTTATAAAAAGAAATGGGCATTCGCCTCTTTTAAAACTGAACATCATGTTAAAACAGTTGAACAAGCTTATGCTCTTAGTAAAGATCATGAAACCTGTCAACTATTTACCCCAGAACAAATTAATTCCCATAGGAAAGATGGTCATAATTATATTCATATAGGTTTAGTGCAAATTGCAGCCAAACCTTTAACACGTAGAGGTCTTAATACCTCTATCCTCTTATGTCTTCGAGATGCTAGATTCAATGACTTTAGTGATAGCATACTTGGTATGGTTGAATCCAGCCTCTGTAATGGACCTATCCACTTTGATTGCTTTCCAGATCTTACCATAAGTCTATCAGACCCACATATGTTACCCTACTTCCGCACCCATTTGGTATCAGAGCCAAGTGGTTGGTTATACCATTAGTTTCTGAATACTCTGTTTTTACTTTTAGATTTATTCAGTCTCTTTATAGTTGGTCTTTTCAGTTTAACCTTCTTAGTGTTTTCTGATCTCCATAAGGTCTGAGCAGTAAGGCGTCACCCAAACAGTAAGTCCCGGAGGATAGGGCCTGAGCGGCGCGCATGACCCAGAGAGCTTGGCGTTTAGAGTCACTAGTAAGATTTTCTGTTAAGGTTTCTGTATTTTGATTGTTTGAATTTATTGGTATGAGTAGATTGTTTAGATCTAATTCTATGGCCAGCACTAGCTCTAGATCAAATTTAGGAACAATACCTGATATTGTCAATGAAGAACAAAAATTTGAATTTCAAACAGACAGTAGTCTAGATTTTGCTGAATGGAATATTCCAAAAATATCTTCAAAAAATATTTATAAAAAGAAATGGGCATTCGCCTCTTTTAAAACTGAACATCATGTTAAAACAGTTGAACAAGCTTATGCTCTTAGTAAAGATCATGAAACCTGTCAACTATTTACCCCAGAACAAATTAATTCCCATAGGAAAGATGGTCATAATTATATTCATATAGGTTTAGTGCAAATTGCAGCCAAACCTTTAACACGTAGAGGTCTTAATACCTCTATCCTCTTATGTCTTCGAGATGCTAGATTCACTGACTTTAGTGATAGCATACTTGGTATGGTTGAATCCAGCCTCTGTAATGGACCTATCCACTTTAATTGCTTTCCAGATCTTACCATAAGTCTATTAGACCCACATATGTTAAAAGCACTTACATTAAATATCAAAACTTCAGGATACAAAGTCCTTGAAGGAACACAGCCTATAGACGAAACTTCTGTAAGTCTCGTTTAATTTTCAATAAATATTTTCAATCGAATATCAGCATCATTAATTTAATCATGAATACTAAATCTATTTTAAATTTAGTTTTGTTTATATATGCTCTTGTTATTAATCCTAAAAATTTTACATTGATATTAATCAAATTCTTTGAATTCCCAAATACATATATCGGATATTTCCGGCTTCCTATGTTACCCTACTTCCGCACCCATTTGGTATCAGAGCCCAAATGGGTGCGGAAGTAGGGTAACATATGTGGGTCTGATAGACTTATGGTAAGATCTGGAAAGCAATCAAAGTGGATAGGTCCATTACAGAGGCTGGATTCAACCATACCAAGTATGCTATCACTAAAGTCAGTGAATCTAGCATCTCGAAGACATAAGAGGATAGAGGTATTAAGACCTCTACGTGTTAAAGGTTTGGCTGCAATTTGCACTAAACCTATATGAATATAATTATGACCATCTTTCCTATGGGAATTAATTTGTTCTGGGGTAAATAGTTGACAGGTTTCATGATCTTTACTAAGAGCATAAGCTTGTTCAACTGTTTTAACATGATGTTCAGTTTTAAAAGAGGCGAATGCCCATTTCTTTTTATAAATATTTTTTGAAGATATTTTTGGAATATTCCATTCAGCAAAATCTAGACTACTGTCTGTTTGAAATTCAAATTTTTGTTCTTCATTGACAATATCAGGTATTGTTCC